TTATTATTTTATTTAAAAAATACTAAATATAATTAAATTTTCTAGGCAAATTTGCCTGGAATACAGTTTAAGGGATAGTATATATATCATATATCAAAATAGAATTATTGATAAAATCCATCTAGGTTGATTCCAAATAAATATAGATCGTAATACAGTAGAATTCTAAAATATGCCTGAGTCATTAAAGAATTTCAATTCAATCTATACTAGAATTAAGTGTATTCCAAATAATTTTATCGAGTATTTTGTTTTAAAATTTAAGTCGCTTAAGACAGTTTATTTATTAATTAAATTTAAAAGCATATATGAAGTTTTTATATCCATGATTAGTATTTTCACATAGTACATATTTTTTATTTACAATAATTTTTTTACACAAGTTTGCATTTAATATTAGCTATTTGTAAGAAAGATTGTATAATAGACACTTCTTGAATGCTTACGTGTATTGAAAAAAAAATTATTATAGAAAATTTTTGTATTCATTATATCTGAAGGTCATTATAGAAACATTCATATATTCAGAGTCGACTGTAATATAGTATTTAATTCTAGAAACTTATGAAAATCTAATAATGCTGAATTTGTATTCAAATACTGTGTTATTCAATGATCTTGCAGGATAAGTATCTTTTGATCATGTAAAACCTTAATACAAAATCAAAGTCTTCACGTACTATCAAGGTTTTATATCAATTATTAGCAGATTCGATGCTAAGATATTTGGAAAGCATTTCTTCAAATACATTATGGCAAAAATAAAAAATCTTGAGATTGGTTATAGATAGAGTGTTTTTGCAAAAAACAAAATTGTTGTATCAATCAATTACATATTTATTGTGACAGCAAATTTAAAATCAACTTGTTATAGATTGCTTTGAAATTTTGTATCAACTTGGGTTATATTTTGAATTCTATTCCAATCTAAGTAGATTCCAAATCCACAATAATTCTATTTTGATATATGACATATATATGTATATACAATTTAAAATAGCCAAAATGATTATATTTGTTGTCAAATATATATTAGAGGCTAAAAGCTTTTATATATTAACTATAAAAACATCTAGCATACGTATAGAGTTGCATAGCCAATAATGATTTTGTCAACCTTCTTTATTGATGATAAATTAGCAAAATATATACTAATAATAATATTATATTGTAGTTAATACTTTATAGTATATACGTATAAGAAAATAAATTGTGTGATAAGAAGAAAAAAAGAGAATATTTAGTTAATACTATAAAAGAACCATGGTTATCAGTAAGACCCAGAATCTAAATATTTATACATCTTGTGTTATTCAGAATTAAATTTCTTCCACTATTAATCAAGAACAATTATTTGTTAAATATTAGACAGTTAGTAATATGTATATTAAAAAATCAGTCAATCAATTATATATTGTTAACAGATACTATATATGGTATACATCAAATAACAATTTAATCCCAACGGATTGGTTAATCAAATTTTTGGGCATTTACATGACTATCAAAAATCAAATAAAAATCGGCATCATGTTTTATTTATAATATAAGCTTTTATTTCTACATATATGTAATTTTTTTCTTTTTTTCTTTTTTTAATTAAAGTATGCTTACAAAAAATTTGAATGTTCTAAGTGTCCTACTCAAATACAAAAAAAAATACTAAATATTTATTCTAATACAATTCAAATGTTCGAAAAAAAAAAATTTTTCAAATGTTTCTACTAGTTACTCATCATTGTTATAATCAAACATTCTACCAACTACTGAACTATTTTTTTTAAGAAAAATTAAATTTTCAAATACTTCTAGTTTTAAACAGATTCTTTTAGCTGTCATAATATTGCTTGCATTGCTGAAAAGTCTCTCGCTAGCAGCTAATGTTGTTTGCACAGCAAGATACTTTTGTGCTAGTTGAGACAGAACAAAAAAATTATTTTTATTATCTCTTTACCAAACGAGTGCATTTTGATCTTTTAAAATTTCTTGCAATGCCAAATATCTATTGACTTCGTTAATATCATAACTACAAGAATCGAACAAGCTTTCACCATATACTTTTGTTCTTAATTTTTTTTGTAAGGGTTTATTTTGTCATCTTTCAAATATGTGCTTCTTGGAAATTTCTTCATTAAATAGATGATGCAATTCATTAATTGCTTCTCTTTTTTTTGATTCAGTAGTAAATGATAATTTTTTTCAACATGGATCCAAGAGTGAAGCAACAAGACTGTCAAGCTCCAAATTTTCATAATAATTGTTCATTGCTTGATAAAGTTTATCTTTAATTATATCAACTAACTCAAGCATATTAACTAGATTATTAATTTTGATCTTTTAATTTGCTTTTGGTTTATTTTCATCATCTTTGATTTGCAGTTCATCAAATATATTCTTTAATTCATCTTGATTGTTATTATCTTTACCAATAGGATCAAAAAAATATTTAATCTTGATTTAATTTTTTGTATCGCAAAATATACATAGCTTATAGTCAAATATTGGCTCCCCTCAAATCTTTCAATAGTTTAGCGAATGGTTCTAGAATTGGCATGATCTCTTCAATAAATAACCATTCTTCAGAAGTTAAATTAATTTTTCTAACTGCTTTTCATCCTTTCTTGTTTCTGTATCAACATTATTAACATTCATAGCCGTAGAAAAAATATCAATAAATGGCTTTAAGATTAACAAATGACTCCATGCATTGAAGGTACTTGACCAATGTATTTCACAGTCAGTAAGTGCATGATAAAAAACCAATTGCGATTCATTAATTGATTTATCTGCAATATTTGTACTTAAAGCACATTGTTTTTGAACATTAATAAGTCTTTCATTTTGTTTAGGGCAGATAAAAAAGATAATTAATCTTTTTGCTCTCATGATCAGAACTTTGGCCGGCAACATTCTTTTCTCAATAGCTAACTTGATTGTATATGCTGTACATGAGACTCTTTTAAGCCAAGAGATTTGGTTAAGTACTTCTTCATATTTTTTCTATTGTCTATAGTATAGCAAAATACTTTATCATTTATATTCCAATCAGATATAATCATTTCTAGTACTTCTTGAATATGGTTATCAGTATGAGGATATAGGAGATTTTTAATTGCCAAGGTGACTTCTTTTAATTCAAAGTTAGGAGTTATGAAATGCCCTGTAACTCTAAAAATCTCATCTTAGAGCGAAAGGTCCATAAGTTATATATGAGTGATATACAATTTGTTTCAGTCTCTAATAAGTTAAAAAGTTTTGAGCTGACGTAATATTTAGATTCAAAAAGTTTAATTTTAAACCTTTTGTTGTTAGGAATATTAAAGACTAAATTGAGTTTATTAATAAAACATCAGAATGAAGAGGATTCAAGCATTTGTAAAGGTTGAGCTTCCAAAATAACCTATTTATAAAGAAGCGATTCAAGGTATTTTTACCATTCTCTAGTTATTGACATGAAAGATTCATCTTGATTAGTTGATCTTATTATAACACTAGATAAGGGTGTATTTTTGAATATTTGATATACAACTACTAAATGGTTAATAATATTTCTAGTTAGACTCTTTGTTGTAATTTTAGAATTACAGCTTAGTCTATTTAACAACTTGTTCTTGTATAAGAAGATTCTTTCACCTTTGTCTGGCAGTTCTTGATGTTCACTCTATGCTCAAATCCAACTTGTTAATTTGGAGGTCTTGTTGCATTAGTTGGTTAGTCATCATTTGATATTGTTGTATCAGTTAGTTAGTCATTATTTGGTAAAGACATAGACAAGAATATATTTGAAGATGTAGATAAAGCTATAATGAAAATGTGTTAATTTACTATCAAAGAGATAAATCTATTTATACTAATAATTTTCGAATTCCATTAGCTATTCTTAATTCTACTATGTAACTAACTATTTCTTTTATTATAATACAATTAACAGGGTTTTTCCCTTTCTGTTTTGCTTTATAAAAAACCTCATATTCTTCTATAAGTACAAGTTCTGTGTATTCTAGTTCTTCTATATTATAATACTATAATTCTTTATAGAGCTCTACTATTTGCTCTTCAGCTATTTCTTTTGAAATAAGCTCTTGTCTAATATATTCTGCCATTATTTTTTCTACTTGTATATTTATTATTTTATTAGTTATTGCTGTTGTTATATTCTGGATATCTGCTATTACCTCTTTTATATCTTCTGGTGTATCAGAGTTAATATAACCTCATCTATATATTTTTATATCTTTACATAGTTCTTTTAATATTATCTTTGTTACTTCTGCTATGATGGGTCTTTTTTCAGAGCATTCTGTTATTTTTTGCTTCACATGACTTGTTGTTTTCTAACTACTGTTGTTTATTGTTGTTGTTTGTTGTGGTTGTTTACTATTTTTGTTTACTTTCATCATGTGGTTTTTGTTGTGTTTTCTTTGTTTATTTTTTATTATGTATTGTAATTCTTGTATTACCAAAACAGATTTACAATTTAGGATCAAGATCAATTCCCCAAAGTTTACAAAGTACAAAAAATATCAACGAATTTTTATGACTTCTTCTATTTTTTTGCTGCTTTTGCTTTTCTTACTCAAGTCTCTTAAGAGACTAAGTATTTCTTGTTGTCCTCTTCCTCTTTACTTAGAGTCTCGAGATCAGTTTCTTAGTGACTCTTGTGTGTTTTTGTAGTTTTTTTGTTAATTTTAGTTTTGGAATTTTGTGTTTTAATAATTAGCAGAAAAAGGTAACTTATTTCTTAGGAGTTTTCTAGATTTTGTATCCCTGTGTTATAGATATATATTGTCTAACCAATTAAATTTGAGATATGCAAATTAATTTTATATAACAAAAATAAGATATTTTGTAATATCTCAAAATTTTGTCTATAAAATCACTTTTCATATTTTAATAAAGAAATTCTTTGCAAAATTTTGGTATATATTAACTTTACCTTACCCTAATCTTAACCTTAGTTTTTTAATCTCAATCTAATTAATTTTTTATACAAAATTGTTTTGACAAATTATATAATTTATATGTATATGATGAATTAACACATCACAGGATGTGGTATATAGATTTATTCTATTTCTTATATCAAATTATATATATTCAAAAAACTTTAAGCTAAATATTTTAAAACTTACTATTCTAGCTAGAAAAAATTAAACTATTTACTTATTAGATTTAACTATCTATTACTTTACAATATGTTTTAACTAAATACATTTTAATATTAATTTTTTACCACCAGTTTATTACTTATCAGTTCTCTAGCAATGACTTCTTTAATACAAATCTAGATTAACTCTTTAATAAACTCCAATATTTTCTGGTTCCAACAACAAGTAGCTTTTTTCTATTTACTTAATTAACAATTTAAACAATTAACTTTTTGAAGTCTTTTTTTAAAGACTTCTATTCAGATTCAATTATTTAGCTTGAAACAACTAATAAATTAGCTTTTAAGAATATTTTTGATCTTTTAATTCATATAATAGTTCTTTAAAAACCTAAATTTATTATAAATTTTATTTAAAATCAAAATCCTCAAGTTATTAAATTTACTATATATTTCTAAAAATAAGCTACTCTGAAAATAAGTTACCTTCTTTTTTTAAAAAAAATATAAAAACTTCTTTTGTCCCAAAAATAAGCTACTTATATAATTATCAGTAGTTACTCTATAGTAAAGTTAAAATTTTACTAAGTAAATTGATATAGCTTATTAAGGGTAGAGGGTACTATTTTAAAATTATATATAAACTTAATAGCAAATTTTTTTTATATTTAATTTTATAA